ATCGTGCTATATAAATAAAGTGGAGTGGATTGGATTGGATGTTAATGTCTGATTTGTAACATCTGTCCTCTTCAGGTACCGTCGATAAGCACTCTATTGAGGTGACCAACTGCTTCTCTGTCCCCCACAATGAGTCTGAAGACGAGGTGTGTTGTTAAACTCGTTTATTACACAGTAGCTGCAGTAGGTAGGGCTCACAAGACATTACAGAGATAGATATTATAATAAAAAGAAGGTTAAAATAGGCATTACAGTACAATATCTAACAGAAAATGGTATAATAAGAGTGAAGTGTGTGCATTATTGTTAGAAGATAGACTTATATGTGTGCTGCAGTATGTGACAGACGTTTATTGAAGATATATGTAGTTGTATTGATATAAGCAAGGTTAGAATTGCAATGGAAATCAAGAATATCTGGTAAAATAGTGACATTTATCATTGGATAATTCAAAATTGAATGAATTCCCCTTGCAGGACATTTGGTACCACCTGCACCACACCTGTATAATTCCCACAGGTCTCCTGCACAGTGAAACACATTCCTGTGGGGCTTTTTTTTGGAAAGGAGGGGATAACTGTGGTATATAATTAAAGAAGATTGGTTTAACTTAGTACAGATAATAAGCAGTGAGGGAATTCATCAACCATCCTTGTTTTAGACAGATAACTGCCTCATTTTGCCAAGTAAAGAAGATCTTTCCAAATAAATAACCATGTGTCAAATCGTCTCCTAGGTTGCCGTGGACATGGAGTTCGCCAAGAACATGTACGAGCTCCACAAGAGGGTGTCGCCCACCGAAGTCATCATCGGATGGTGCGTCGGTCGTTAAATAAAATGAGAAGTTTCACAGGTTAAACCGGGGGAGGGGGAAACACTTTGTCACCACGGTGCGTTTGTCCCCACAGGTATGCTACAGGCTTCGACATCACAGAACACTCGGTGCTCATCCACGAGTACTACAGCCGCGAGGCGACCAACCCCATTCACCTGACCATGGACACCGCACTGCAGAGTGGCAAGATGAACATCCGCGCCTACGTCAGGTCGGTCGGTCGGTCGGTCTTCCTGCCACATACTCTTTGTTTTATGCGATGAACGGCAGACTGACGGTGTGCTTTGTGTGTCTCCTACGCAGTGCACAGATGGGCGTGCCAGGAAAGACGGTCGGTGTGATGTTCACCCCACTGACTGTCAAGTACGTCAGCTACGACACGGAGAGGATAGGCGGTGAGATTACGCAGAATGAATTGAGACTGTTTGGAAACAAATGCTTCCTGATTTAAACGTCTGTGATAATGAGATTGTTTTACTAGCTCTGTCTCAGTAGTTGGAGTACTATACTGTAACAACCCCCTCTGTTTGTTGCAGTGGAACTTCTACAGAGGACACGTATACTTCCAAGCCGCACCAAGGGGCTGACCTCTGACCTCTCCCAGGTGGCTGGCTCTGCAGCCAAAGTACAGGACATGCTGGCCACCGTGCTTGCGTACATTGAGGATGTGCTGGTGAGTATTAGAGCAGCCGGACATGATGTTGTGATTCTCATCAGATGTGATTAGTCTGTTGTTTCCATGTAAGCAACACCTCCAGCTTTTTGTTTTCCAGGGTCATCTTCCCACTCAGCGTGCTCTGCCGGCCGATATTTGCTCTAATTAATTTGATCACAATCTAAAAAAGAGAGAAGAGCCGATGAGTCGACGCAGTTATTTTACTCCACAGGAAGATTATTCAGTCTTTGACACACACATGGTATGGTATTAACACGGTATGTTAACATCCAGGGACTCGCTTTAGTATTTTGCAGAGAGACGTTATCTGGTGGATGTTTTACAAGCACATCCTCATTAATGCGTCTGAAAACACAAGTTTCTTGGGCGACTTTATAAAGCGTACTGCTGTCCAACAAAGTAAGGGAGCAGACACGTACTGTGTGTGTGTGAGACAGAGGTGTAGTTGTGTGCGTACGCTATAAACACAAGGCTTTAAATAGACCCGGTGATCGACTGCTTCCAGTGATCGGCCTCTAAAATCCCGATCGTAGCACCCTTAATTCCCCGCCACCGCCACTCTGTCTCACTCTGCCGTGCCTCCAGAGATAGTTTGTGAAGTGCTCGCTGATAGTGGCTATAAAGGTAATGCTGTTCCATCTGTCTCAGTCTGGCAAAGCCACAGCGGATAACAGCGTGGGCCGCTTCCTGATGGACCTGGTCAACAAGGTGCCCACCATCTCCGCCGAGGACTTCGAGAACATGCTCAATTCCAACATCAACGTAAGTGCTGCTCACAAACCGCAACACGTATGTTGATTATTAACCAAACCAGTTTTCTAATCACTGCTGATGGTTGTTTTTTTTCCCCCCTTCGTTGGATTTAGTGCGCCTCCTTCAGCCCTTCCGTTCATTATTTCTCCTGGCACGCTCCCATTGATTACAGGAAACATTTAATTAGACTTTACATCCTATTTTTAGTGCTCTCCTGGCTCCTCTCGTCTCATACGTCTTTGCATAGCACTTAGCACGCAGGATACACAGTCATCTTAGGAATGTAAGAGTGGTTGGTGCGTCTTTACTCGGGGATCTGTCTTTCATATGACGGTGTTTCACTATTGTTTGTAGACTCATTGTACCTCACTATGAATAAATAATAACTAATTGTTTTGTTATTGCAGGACCTGTTGATGGTGACCTACCTGTCTAACCTCACCCAAGCACAGATTGCTCTAAATGAGAAGCTGGTGCTGCTCTGAGGCGATTTCTTCAAAGTGATTCATATTTAATTTTTGTATAATTTTTTTCTTTTTTTTTTTTTGGCTGAGATGATTAAAGGTGTTAAACAGTCACACGGTGTTCAAATATTTGCTTCCAGACATTGTCCTCGTTGAAATGAGTACTAGTATAGTACAAATAATGCAATTTGGATTCTCTTGGTTATATTGCTAATGTGGTTTTCTTTCTAAATAAATGTTCCCGAGCTACATACTGTATTAAACAGCTCGTATTTACCACCGTTAACTCCTTATAGTGCAGACTTTGTGATGTAGTATTAAAATGTTGATTTCATTATCTATTAATTAGCTAATAATGAATTGTTTTGTGTATAAAACAAAGTAAAAAACAGACAATTTCCTAGAGTTATTTAAATGATTTGACAACCCAAATACATTCAGTTTACCATAAAGTAAGACAAAAGGAAGCTGCCTGTAAGACAGTTTATTTTTATTAATTCTCTACATAAATATACATTCAATCAGACGCAGCAGTGAATCAGTTAAGTGGCAGAGCCCTTGTGACAGGCCATGCCCGGCCTGAGTTACATTTGAAGCAATAGTGCAAAAAAAGTGGGCATGAGAAAGTCACACGCGTTTAAATCCTGTCTTGGTAGCACATGTCAATCAATCTACAGTATCCGAGAAAAGCGGATTTATTATTGCTCTGTTGTAAGAACCACACTGAGGGATCCCTTTAGGGTTTGGGGTCTGAGTCCGGGCTCTTCTCGGGCTTCACTATCTTCTCCACGGCAGCGTAGCTCCGCACGGCTCGGTCGTACACGGAGTCTCCGGTTGCCTTTGCGATGGCCGCAGCCTGCTCCGGGTAGTAGAGGGAGGCGCTCACGGTCACCAGGCCCGCCGGGTAGAGGAGCCTCTTAACCCGGGAGCGTCTGGCGAGGAGGAGCCCCAGGACACCGGTGAAGCCGATGACTCCCGCCCGGGGATAGAAGTCCTTCGGCGGGTCCTTCAAGTAGCTGTAGGTGTCGTTCCCGAACCGGACGGCGCTCTGGACTTTGGGTTTAATTCGGCTGTACGTGCCCCGACACCAGTCCGTGTACGGCTCTAATACCTTCCTGAGGGTGGCGACACTCTCCTCCAGCTGACCGGCTTCAGGCTCCACATACCGGCTCTGCTGCAGGGGAGCAGCGGGGTACAGAGACAGCTCATCCCGGAGCAACGGGGCGGTCTCCTCCTGCCCTTCGGGACCGGCACCGGCAGCGGCGGAGACGGTGGTCGGTAACAAAGTCAGCGCTCCCGGCATGGCACCACTACCTGTCACCTTCAACATGATCCCTGCAGGCCATGCGTGCAACTACGGTGTCCGAGGAGGGACATTACCGCCACTCGAAGCGGTAATCGCGCCACCTCTCTGGTGACTTTTGACCAAAGTTTTTTTTCATTACGCTTTAAAAGCACAAATATGACACAAGCGAGTTATTTTAAAGTATTTTGGATAGGCTTTTATTTATAAGTGATTACCTTTAAATTATGATGTTGTTATTTCGTTTAGGTAATTTAATAAACTGTCATTTCTTCAGTATTCCCCCTTTTATGCAACTTTATAGCCTACTTGTATTTTACTACATTGAATGTAATATTACATCAGTAAAATATTATAATTATATATAATAATGCATCAGTAATAATATTATGATGGTATATAATAAATCAATACTTTGAGATGTACTTTTTCAATAATACTTATGTATCCTAAATTCATTTATTTTTTTAAATAATAACTTTTACTTAAAGAGTGCAGGTTTTAATTTAATGTATTATTTGCTGAGTCATTTATTACCTTCATTTACGT